GATGATGAGGATTCTGAGACTTATGATTCAGACTGAAAAAATTATTCTTTTATTTTACCTTATCGGTTACTTTAAAAATCTTCTGCTTTTCCTAATTTATCAATTTTATATAAACATTTATTAACCACTCCTACTACCTCATGTATTGCCAAAAGGGTGTTAAAAATTAATTAATAATTTTTTCGGGGGGGGGGGGGGGGTATTCTGCTTCAATCGCTCAGAAAGTGTAGGGCCCCACTGTAGATAGGGAATAGAACCCAATAAAAATGATAACAATGTAGAATAGGAATAAGCAGAAAAAGAAATACCATCCATGAGTCTAAGTGTAACACTTATAGAATTACAGCCAACTTTCTCTATGATATTTTACTATATCTGATAATTTTAAATATTATAAATCAACTATGGATAAAATATATATTATTTTACATCCATTTGCAACTTATCTACCATATTCTCAATTATATACTACAATATCATTAATATATAATAAAGGAGGAGTGTAAGACACGAGATCGTTATTGAAATTGAGGAGAGATAGAGAGAATAAAATGATAGGGAAGTATGGGGATTAATGAACCCAAAAATGCTAATTTAGATTTGGGTTTCCTTTCTTGCTAATTATGATTTTATAAGGGGCAGATAGGGAGGGGGGGGTATATAGCTTAATGGATCTATCAGCGCCTGGAAGTCATTGATAGCAAGAATATAATATTCTAATAAATAATTTTGTCTTAAAAAAATGGATATCAATAAATTGGGATTTTCGTAAAGATTTTCAATTTTTAGAGCCTAATAAGACAGTTCATTTATAAAAACTTTCACCTGCTCAAAAGAAATTTTTTGTTTCAAATATTATTTTAAATGTGCTTAGGTTAATTTTAGGGCATACTAAGCTCTCAACACACTCCTCTCCCACTCCCTCGCAAGACCACTGATAATTGTTTTCTATTGGATAAATAAAATGTAATATTAAATACCTTTACCTAATCTAATGTCATATATAACATATTAAGTTGCATTTTTTGCAAACAAAAATTATATATCAGAGTTTTTAAAAGTGTGAAATTATTAAATATTTTTTTGTAAATTTAATTTTATACAATAACTCAAAGGTTATACTTCTCACAAGAACAAAAAAATGTGTTTTTTATGTGTTTCATATATTTGTATTTAAACATTTAATTATCAAAATTCATAAAGTTGTGTGAAATTATTTTGTCAATATTTCAAAATTTTCTTAAAAATGAATAAAGAAGATGATCTTTTGATTTTTCATCTCCCATGACATGATAACACATATCAATATTTTAAACTTTGATAGAAAGAATTAAACTAGTTTAATAGAATTATAAACTGGTAGATTCATATTGTATTTTATCCATTCCATTGTATGGATTTTATTTTATTTAAGATTGTAATTAAGTATAATAATGTACTTAATAAATTTGTAAGGAATCGGCAAAACCACAAAAGACTATCAGTCTACTCTTAGTTTCTCCGAAGTTTTAAATGTTAAATCATTCATTCCTACAATTTTCAACATACATCTTTTTTAATAATGACATAATAAAATAAATTTTAACATCTTTCACATCATCTAATAATACTTTTTCTTTATAAATGTAGTAACGGATGATGAAAATAATAATATTTCTAACATTTTAACTTTAAAAAAAATATTTTATATTAAATTATCGATGAAATTTTCTTTCCCTTTTTTGTAGACTTCTTTCCACTCAAAGATTTCAGCATAGCTATTCAAAATAAATAATTATTTTTTGTATCTATTCCCTAGCCTGGAAAAAAAGTTATTAATGATAAATATTGTGTGTTGTGAGGGATATATCTGATTTTTCCAAATTTCGAATCTCGTTAATGTTGTTTAATATAATTTTACTCGCTCAAGCGATATTTTAAAAATAAATGCTAAAAATTTTTATTTTCTGTAGTATATGAGATAAAAGACTATATTAATAGTCTGAACTTTCTCGTGTTTAAAACCTGGGATGTACTTAATTCCTTAAGCCCATGACGAAATACCCCGTATCCCTTCTTACCCCAACCTCTTCTGACCCCACCTTATTACCTCAAATCCCTTTTTACCCCTGTTTCTTCTAACCCCCTACCTTTTCCTACCCTCTATCCCTTCTTATCCCCTACCCTATCTTACCTCCTATAAAATCAAAATTAGCAAAAAAATAAATTAAAATTATCAAAAAAAGTCAAAAATTCCTACCCCCCCCCCTCCCTCAAATTTAATTCAAATAAATATAGCATCTTTGTAAGTACTTACCCCTCCCCTATAATTTCATTTCCAATCTTGTATAATATATTAGCCCCCTTCCTTCCGAGGCAGAAGTCCCTGGCTAGTAACTACCTTTAAAAATTTGCAACTTCATTATAACTACAAAATTAAGTAACTATAACTACATTTAAAAAATTTTTAGTTATTCTATTTTAAATGTGTAACATAAATGTAAAAAGAATTATCAAGAAAACACTATATGATCTATCAAGTTACCTTTTTTTACACAAATATCAACTAATAGTACACATAAATTTATCCAGAAACTTTTATACTGCCTTAAGTCAATGAGGATTTTCCTCTCCTTAAAAAATACGTTTAATGAGGATTCATTTGTATATATTATTTTGGCATTTCCATTAGTGATCTGCATTGGGCCTATTTTTTCAAGCCCGGTCCGGCCCGAAATTTTTTTTAAAAAAGTTTGCCGGCCAGGCCTGAACCCGAAATTTTTTAAAAAGTTTTGCCGGCCCGGCCCGAATCCGAAATTTATTTTAAAAAAATTTACCGGCCCGGCCAGGCCCGTATTTATTTAAATATAGAAATTAATTTTCATAATTACTTAAATTAAAAGACATATGTTATATAGCGTTTCAATAAATTAAATCAAAATTTTTTATTTTACATAAAAAATTTAATATAAAATTGATAAATTTAGATATATTTAATAAAATTTCCAAGTTTCGACCCGACCCGGCCCGAAATTTTTTTAAAAATATTAGGCCCGGCCCGGCCCGAACCTGATTATTCTAGCCTAACTTTGCAGATCTCTAATTTCCATATCAATTTCAACCCATAAGTTGTTTTTTTTCTAATTATTGAAATAATTATTTGAAGAAATATATATTAAAAAAATTAATTAATATAAGGCTGTGATATTATTTATTTCTCCAGTATTTTATTCTGAATTATCAGCATTTTTTAAAATATTTTTACAATATAACAACAATATTTTCAGTATCATGTTAATTTTTTTTACTAGTATAATTTATAATATGTTTAGAGTTTTGCATAAAATTTTCGTAAATATATCCTTTTTTTGGCATTTTAATTCATTTACCAGTAAACATACTTTTTTGCCAGTATTTTAATTAATTCTTTCTTTCTTTCTTTCTTTCTTTCTTTCTTTCTTTCTTTCTTTCTTTCTTTCTTTCTTTCTTTCTTTCTTTCTTTCTTTCTTTCTTTCTTTCTTTCTTTCTTTCTTTCTTTCTTTCTTTCTTTCTTTCTTTCTTTCTTTCTTTCTTTCTTTCTTTCTTTCTTTCTTTCTTTCTTTCTTTCTTTCTTCTTTCTTTCTTTCTTTCTTTCTTTCTTTCTTTCTTCTTCTTTCTTTCTTTCTTTCTTTCTTTCTTTCTTTCTTTCTTTCTTTCTTTCTTTCTTTCTTTCTTTCTTTCTTTCTTTCTTTCTTTCTTTCTTTCTTTCTTTCATCTCCATTCTTTTTATTATATTACTAGTAAAATATATACGTCGTATTGGAATATGGAATCAATGGGGATTCGTAATTTATCTATTATAAATCATTTACCGATGGCATTTTTTAATTTTTAAAATCCAATCTAACCGGAAATTCATTCCATCATGTGTAGAGTAACTACTCTGTAAATTTCAGACAACTTTTGCCATAAACATTTGAGTATTATTTTAATTTACATGAAATATTCACATAAAAATCAATATAAATTAAAAGTATTTCTAAAACATTTCCGGTAAAATAAGATTTTTTTAAATATAAATCACCCTAAGTGAATAAGATCGAAAGATTCATGATCCTCAGGGATTCCTTATTCCAATACGAGATATATTTGAATTAATTATTCAACAAAATAAATTCATTTTATTATCATAATTATATATTAATTATGTGAATTTTAATATAAAAATATAAATTATAATAATTCTAAAATGTCTAATTTTTTTAAAAGTGACCCATAAATTTATTAGCTTGTAATATTATTTTATTTTATATTATAATAAATAACTATAAACACCACCTTGCGGATTTAATATTAAAATATAAATTTTTTAAAATTCTAATTACATTAAAAGATCTAAGCCAACTATTATTATATTAAATAATATATAATTACTAATATATTATCCGTAATATTTTTAACCATATATTTCTTTTTACTTATTCATAAGTGCGTTTTATATACAAATTAACAGAGTTGTTAAACCCTAGTTTTAAAAGTAGCGCGCTATTTTTCTATCTCTTTAAAACTGTTGGCATGAACATGTTTATAAATAAAAATACTAAAAAAAGACAATTTTTTTAAGGTTATATCTACTAGATTTATTTGAGGATATATTTTTTATACATTTTAAAAAAATTAATTTGTAGCCACCTTTTGTTTTTACATTAATTTGAAAATATTTTTTAAAATATTGGAAATGGAAAATTTGTATTATTGTTATCAAGAACATTTTTTTCTAGGGTACTTCCCACTTCATTAATATTATAATTGTCTGATTTACTTAAATCAATTTAGATATCCAATTGCGATGGCATTTTAAATAATTTACATCAGATGAATTAGGTTTATAATACAAATTGAAAAAATAATAAATTTAATAGTCAAAATTAAATAATAAATCATAAAAATTATAATTAATTATGATAATATATTTAAATTTTCATGCTTATAGTTACCATTCATTATATTTTTTGAAACTATTTAACTACTTTTCAAAAAAGGAGCGCTCAAATAATTGGGAAAGTAGTAGCCTGCTATTGGCCATCGTTAGCACAGTATAGCGCTACTTTATCAACTCTGCAAATTAATTATTTTATTTAATAAATTTAACTATGTCTTCACAAGCAATTGAAAAAAAAATGCAAAAATGTATTGCTTCGATCAACTCAAGTAAATAATATAGTAAACTGATTTTTAATAATTTTTTATATATATTTGTTTTAAAATTTAATTATATTTATTAATATAATAAGTCTACTTTTTCATTCTATTATATTCATTAAAATTTCACAGAATGATTATTTATTTAAAAATAGTATTAATAACTCAATTTTTGTGTCATTTCTTGTATATTTCTGTTCCACTCTCATTTCTTTTAGTAAATTAATTTATCAACTTAGGGATTGGGGAGACCAGGGTTATATAGCAGTTTTCCTCTTTTGTGGTAAAATTTAATTTTTATGAAATTAACTTATTGTATCATTGGATAGCCTCATCATTGGACTACAAAATAGGAAAAAACCAGTGCTTTCTACCTATTAGACTGTGGGCGCTATTTCGGATTAAATTAAAATCGTGTTCTTTACTATTACCAACGACCTTGGGTAAGATGGCAAGCCCTTCGGGCAAATATATCAAATTTAATCCTACAAAGCAAAAAATTTAATTTTTATTGTTATAATTGTTACAGATTAACAAATTGTGCTTACTTAATCAATTTACGTTTTATATTATTATATTACTTTGTTTTTATTATTACTTGTATTTACCTAATCAATATTACTTTTTTACAAAATGTTTTAATAGAGGCTGTAAATTAAATATAGATTTATATATAAATATCGCGTAAAGGTTACAAAAAAAAGTTCTTTTTACAACATAATAAAAGACATATTATATAATTCATTCAGAATCAATATTATTTTTAGCTATTGCATTCAAAGTCAATATTCTACACAGACTAATACCCATTCTACAGGTTATTTCCCCTCAATACCGACTAATAGAGAGACCATAGCAATTCTCAGGGCAAGATCCTCCCCTCTTATATTAATAATTAATATATATTGTTGTAATATGTAAATTACTTTGAAACAAAATAGAGGAAAAAGAAGTAATATTCAAATCGATTGTTAAACAGAAAAACGTAACGAATTATTAGATTTTTTGAATAAAGACGATGCAAATGAATAGGAAAGAAAAGTATATATAATCGGGAATATTTAACTTAAGAAAAATTATGATTTTACGAACTTAATTTTTAATCTTTTAATTTTAATTTGTTTATATTATTTTAATTTCTTATTTTATTTATGATTATGTAATTAGTATTTATATTAATTAATAAAGTATTAGTAGTTAATTTATTTATACTATTTATTTTATTCTCTAAATTCTCTCAACCACTATATTTGTTGGCCGAAACATTATGTTCTATGAACATATCTACTTAAAATACTAAAATTCTACATATATAATTAAAACAAATCGTGTATATTTATAATTAGTCTCCACGAAAAAAAACATGTTAAATAGAGAATATCCTGTCACAAATAGGAATGTCCTTTCAGGACAATTAGGGCTTTATATCCAATTTTCGCTTTTTTTAACTGAATGACAATAATAAATCTCCAAAATTTTACCTCCCCCCCCTCCCACATCCTTCCAAAATTTTTTGACTTTTATTGTTAAATATATTCAGTAATCTAATTTTATTTTTAAAGACTTGTTTATAGTATGAAAAAAAATGAGAGCTTAATTAATGAGATATATAAATAATTTATTCCTTTAGAATTTACAGCCAACATTTACAGTTTATTTAATCCATATCTATCTAAGGTTTTGATCAGGGATGTGAACCCTTAAACAAAAAAAGGGTTCGGCTTCGCTATATCTATTTAGGGAGGGGGGGGGCTATTATCCCATTTTCAATTAATTAAGATAAAATATTTAATAATAGCTTCAGATTCGGAGTTTAAGGTTTAAAGAGTATAGGGAAATATTGTCTCAATATTAATAAAATAAAACAAACATTTTCCCATATTTATTATTCTTATAATTTTAAATGTTTTAATCAATCGAACAATCATAATATGTTCCAAAATATATTCTTTAAGATTTCCGTGCAAATCAACAATATGTTTATCAAGGAAGAAAGGGTAGGTTCTATATGACCTAAATTAACTAATGACTTGCTACTATGATTAAATTTTAATTGATTATCTATAAAAATTGGATTCTCTTTTATTTACTTAAATGCAGGATTTTGTCCAATGTTTTACTTTCTAGAATTGATATAAAAACAAAATACGCAACGTATTCATATTATATTACTATTCATAGCATAGTAAATTATCAGTTATAATAAAATTTTATCACAAAATAGAGACAAAAATTGAAAATTTTGAACGAGAAAAAATGAAACCACGAAAAAAATTTTCTAAAATTTATATTTCATTTTTTAATAAAATTTATTAATTTAAGAAATTTGTAATTATTTGTTTTTAATACTTTGAACTCTCAACTTTTAAAAAGGTTTCGGGTTAGAGTTCGGGTTCAGCAAAAAGGTTAAGATGCTGGCTATACCTGATTTTCATCTTTTTTTCTCCCATGGAGGAGGGCAGATCTATAACCCTCTAGTATCATATTAGAACAATTGACCTCTATTGCTAGCCAATTATATTTTTAATTATAAATATCATTTTTTTCTTACTGAACAAATTATTTTTTTTCTGATCAAATAAATACTAGCCATTTTTTTTATCTAATACTTATATTCCAGTATTTATCCTGATTAAATTTTAATATCATTTTAATAAAAATGATAAAAAAATACTGAAAATTTTGAAAATGTATTGGAGTAAATTATTCATCTAATGAAAATGTTATTTTCCTTAAATACTTCATTATTAAAGTAAATGTATTTAATATTTTATAGTAGAATAGAGGAAGAACATATATTATATTTTGAAATATATTTAAACATGTATATCATATAATAAAAAATTGTCTATAATTCTTTTTTCAAAAGCAGCTGACTACAAGCTACTCGGTAAAATATGTAACTCTTAAGTTACTAATTTTTAGAAAAATGTAAGTGAGACTGCGGATGAGCGGTCATCGGAGTTGATTGGTCATACTCTCTAAACTTAATACATATCAAACTAATTTGTCTCAAGAATTGATCAAAATAAGTATATTTATGACTTGCCTCTTATATACATGTTAATTTGTTAAGATTGATCAGCCTAATTAAAAAGATATGAAATTTGTAACATAAAATAATCTAGATCAAAAACTATATAGAAAAATAGAATTGATCAATTTATTATATAAATTAATGTTTTTATACCTATGTTCATCATTACAAATAATCCTGGTTTAATATATTTTGTCGAAAAACCATTCCGTATATTATAAAAATAACCCTTGTATTATTTTTTTTGCTTTCGCAAAATATTCCTTAAATTCTTTCTTAACCATTAAATAGAAGTTAATGGCAGTTTATAGCAACCGTCAATTATGTGATAAATTCAGAAAAGAGAGCTCAATTTAGCCCCAAATTTCAAAAAATATTTTTTAATTCAAATTTAAGTCATTGGTGGTTGAAATGTTGGACATAAAATGAGATATGATTGATATCAAAATAAATAGGTGTTTTGGAGCTATGGGCAATTATAAAGCGAGGTAGGTCATCAATCCTATATAATAATTTCAGGTCTGCTAACTTTGTCATTTCCCCCACTCGGAATTCAGAGAGGGTTTATTATTACTTTCAGAGTTTTAACACAATTTTCAAAATCACTTTAACAGAGGCATTTATTGTTATTATCTAATATTCATACAATTATTTGCTACAATTTTAAAAATATCACAATATGACAATTATGTAGAATATCATCCAAAATGAATAAATTGAATATTCATTAGTGTTGTTCTGGGTTTAACAAAATTCGTTAATAATAATTATACAAATATATGTATATACGATTTATTTTTTATATTAATAAGTATATACTTATATCAAAAAGTTTCAAACTTTATTGATGATCTTTGACATCTTTATTATAATAGACAATGTTTGGAGAGTATATAATTTCTAAATTTAGTTTGTGTGTTAAGTTAATAAATGCATATTTTAAGTTATAATATGAATTTGACTAACAACAATACGATAGATCCGATAAAAAAAAATATTTTTATATAAATACCAATATTATGATATGATATTATTTTTAAATATTCATATCATATTATATTGCGTTTATATTTTTATATCTATTTTACAAAATGGATTATTATGTAATATTTTAAATAATTATTCTAATGAATATTTATGATATATATGTATATATTACATAATATCTATAAAGTAAATCATCTTCCCCCCCCCCCCTTTTTTTAAGCAAAACCATAAGTATTTATACATAATATTTAGAATTAACATTAAAAGATAAAAAAATAATTTATTATCTTTTAATAATTTTGTATATAATTTATATTCAATGACATGATTTTTAGGATTAACCGATTAAATTTAGGCGAAATCTTCAAGATTTTATAAATAAATTATTGAATGAATAATGCCTTAACTTAAGAATATATATTTTTTTAAACTGCTTTCTGACTAAGGTTAGTGCATATACATAATGACAAGATCTAAAAGTGTCAATTTAATTTATATTACCTTAAAATTAAATGTATTAAAATAACATCTTTTATTATCATAAAATAAAAGATTGGCGTTTAGAGAAATGAATCAATTTTATTATATATTATTAATTTTATTTCTGGCGTGACAATTAATGAATAAATTTAGTTATCCAATTAAAAAATGGATATTGACTGTGTATGTTTGACTTATAAAATTACTCTCCTGAGGATATAAAGCTAAAAATCTCATGACACTATTGTATAGTACTCCATCCCCCGTGTTAAAGGCCCTTAAAAGGAAAGTTGGGCTGAGAGACTCTATATTGGATAGTGTATAAACATCGCTTAGCTCGATTTGGAATTTAGAAATAATCTATAATAAAAATAAAAAATTTTAATTCTATTAGAATTTATTAAGAAGAAGAATGACAAATATGCTTTTAAAATGTGAATAGAGTAGCCTCCTCTTTCCCCACACCACTAATACTACCTCCTTAGTTAGGTTTGGCAAAGTATCGTTATTTATATTTTTTTAGGCATAAATTTGACAACTTTAAAATAGTAATCCACACATAATTTTATTTCATTCCCATTTTTATCAAAATAAACAGCCTTCCTTTAATGACTCCGATGAGAATTTTAAATATAAATTTAATCTTTAAACAAAATCCGTATAATTATTTTCAGCTAATAATAATAAAAAAAAAATCCTATTATATATTTTTTTGATCTTATTTACGAGTTAATTAATATAACCATCAAATCTTATTGATGTCTCTCTCCCTTGTTAATTACAAGATGATATCGATGATAAGAAGGAAGAAAAAAAATGTAATTCTTTCAAGCCTTATTAATTGGTGTCACAATCACACTTTTTTTAAAGCGAAAAATGCTTAGTATGTAGTATTATATATAAAAATTGTTGTATTTTATATAATATAATTGGTAATAATATTATTCGTATTAACTTAATATGTCAGGATATTTTTCGACATTATGAGAATGATATATTTTTTAATTTTTTTATATACATTATTAATATCGCGTTAAAATGATATATTATAATTATTAAATCATGTAATTTTTATTTTATTTTTATTAAGAATTTTGTTTTTTTTATTTGGTTCATCGATTTCGTCTTTC